CAGCAATACCACCCACACAACTGCACTAACAAGAAGCCTAGGGTCTTTCCTGATTTCTTCCTTTTCTTTACATCCTACAGTCAACCCAGTCCAATTGACTTACCTCCAAAATACATCCCAAATTTATCTACTACTATTTCCTCTGAAAAACAACCTTCCTCCATATGTTAACTAGAATACTAAAGTAAACCCAACTAGTTTCACTCCTTCAGCTCTTGCCCCCTTGAGTCCATTTTCCACACAAGTTATTCTCTACAAAGTAACTTAAAATGAAAATCACAGGATCAACAGATGGTGTAGTAGTTACGTTCCCGGACCCTCACATGACCAACCATGGTTCAAGTCCTGGATCCAGTGGCTTAAAACTCACATTGGGTACATGTGCGTGCATGCCCAAAATCTCGAGAGGAGAGTGGAGAAGGAACTGCAGTGTAGTCATTCCCCCAGAGGGTGATTTCTTACTTTCTGCCTCTCTGTCTCTCCAGCGAGTGTATGTACCCTATAGCATAAATCTCTCTAAAAAATAAAAAAGAAAAAGAAAAGCAGCCTCTCCAATGGCCTATCACTGTAGCCACAGTTAAACCGAAACTCTTGCCTTGACCCATACTGTCCTATGTGACTCTGAATTCTGACCACCTTGTTAAGATCCCTTTCCCACCATCACTCACTAGGCTCCAGCCATTCTGGTTGTTGGCTCCACAAAGAAACTCATTACCAACTTGAGACCTTTGTACTCGCTATTTGCTCTATCTCCAGTTCTTTCCTTTAATCGTCAGAGCATGTGTGTATATTCGTCAGAATACAGTAGGGAGAAAACATCTCCAGCGGGGCACGGTCATACCTCAATCCTTTTTCATTTCTCCATTCTGTCAGGATTCTAGGCACACACGTACACGCGCCTGGTATGTTTTTTGCAAGCTGCTCAGGACTGAGAGTTAATCACAGTCTCAACCATGGGGTATGCACCTTCTGCAGCTCTTTAACACTCCGATAAGGAGACAGCCCCTGCCTCCAGTTCTTAATATAGGTAGTAGGGTCATCTCATTACTCCTATCTCAGCTCAGAGATGAGCCTTCCTCACCACCTCACTTATATAGCACCAACACTCCAAATCGTCATCACAGAATTCTGTTTTGTTCTCCTCAAGGTTCTTATCCTTATTTGCTTACGGATCTCCTTTGTCTGGTTCTCCGTTATATTCCAATGCCTTGGATTTACTGTGCACCTAGTGCAAAGTAAATTTTTGAGTAATGAAAGAATACATAATTAGAAATAGGAGGAAAAAATGTAACACACTAGAACAGAATGAGTGTCATTAGTTAAGAAAAAAAATTCAAGGGCTAGCAGGTGCTGTGTGGGTTAAGGTGCTGGATTCTACATGGCCCTTGGTATAGTTCAAGTCCCAGACCCAGTGGCTTGAAACTCACACGGGTCCATGTGCACGCATGCCCAAAATCTCAAGAGGAGATTTAAAAAAAAAAAAAAAATTATTTATTTAATTTTATTTATTCATTCATTTATTTTAATTTGACCAGAGAAAGATACACACACAGAAAGAGAGGGAAAGTGAGAAAGCAAGCCACCAGGTCCGGTACTTGAACCGCGGTTGGCCATGTGGGAGTGTCCAGCACCTTAACCACCAGTCCAGCACCTTAACCTCTACGCCACCTGCTGGTCCCCACAAGAGTAGATTTTTTTCCTCTCTCTGTTCCTCTCTGGTGAGTACATGTACCTTATAGCAAAAACTAAGCAAAACAAAAAGGCTAATGTGATTTACAGGTTTTTGTTTTTATTTTTTCTGTCTTGTTTTGTTTTTAAAATTTTGCTAGAGGACATGTGTGCGTAAACAGGCACAGAGAGGGAAAATGAGAAGGCACCTCCCATTAAGGACCTTCTCCCCTCTCTTTCTCCTTTCAGGACTTTGGGCACACGTGCACATGTCCCTGGTATGTTTTTTAAGCCACCAGGTCCAGGAATCACCAGGAGATGAGGCAAGAGTTCTGGAAAGGTCCAGAAGTCATGCTGAGGAATCCGTATTTTACCCTGAGATGGGGAACTAGTAAAAAAAAAATCTGTCAAGTGAGGCCAAGGCTGTTGCTGGTGGTTAGGGAGCTGTATTCCAACATGTCTCATCTCCTGGGATCTCTTATTAAGGATCCCATTTTAAACATCAACCATGTTATGGTTTATATTTTTCGCTCTTTCTCTTACAAGCACTTCTGTTCTCTCAACTATCAGCCTGGTATAATCTTCCTTCTAACTGGAACCCTTTCCCCCCCCCAAATTCCTTTCTGCAACTTCTATTACTACCCTTTTAGGTTTCAGTCTGGGCACTGAGTCCGCCAAGAAGCCTCCCTTGACCTAAGAGTACACTGGATACCCTCCCCAAGTGCTCTCATAGCACTTTAAGCTATCTGCTTTGACAACATTAATTATCCTGTATCTAAGTTATCCTCTGAATCTCTACTAGACTGTTAAATTCTATGGGACTAAGAAGTGTCTTATTCACCAGTATATCCCCAGCACTTACATAGTATCTGAAAAATAGTAAACAGCCTAAAAAGTAATATTGATAAGCAAAAAGATAAAAAAAGAACTGAATCATGAGTCACTGGGCACGGCTACAGGGTTTTAACCTGTAAAGTATGAAAAGGAAGTTTTCTTTGGGGGGGAGGGAAGGACAACGTGGGACCAGCAGATGGCGTAATGGCTATGCTGCTGGACTCCCATGTAGTCAACCATGGTTCGAGTCCCAGACCTGGTGGCTTAAACTCACACCGGGCACATGTGCGTGCATGCCCAGGATCCCAAGAGGAGAATGGAGGAGAAGGAACTGCGGCACGGCCATCCCTCCTAGGGGGTGATTTCTTGCTTCCTATCTCTCTGTCTTTCTGGCGAGCACACGTGCCCTATAGCAAAATCTCCCCTCCCCCAAGGCAACATATTTACCACTCTAACAATTTAAATGCTTATCTAGGCCAAACTCAGTAGCATAGTGGTTAAATGCTATATGGAGGAAACTGGATCCCACACAACTAACCAGTTTGAATCCTGTCCCTGACAGCCTGAAAAAACATGTCAGAAACATATGTAAGTATGCTCAGAATCCTGAAGGAATGAAGAAATGAAGGAAATTGGATTGGAGCCTAACTAGGTCCTATTAGGGGGTGCTTTCTCTTACTCTGGTGTGCATGTGCACCATCTGACAAAATGTAAAATAAATAAATGACTATCTACATAAATTTGCTCAGTCTTTAGCATCTACTGAAGATGTACACGAGACACAATGCTATACTATGCACATAATAACTTATTGCTCTTTGACATGCACCAATTCCAAGGCTTTAAATGTAGACTATCTGAGGGACTAGCAGTTAGCATAATGGCTTTTGCTGAACTCCCATGTAGTAGACCTCGGTTCAAGTCCCGGACCCAGTGTCTTAAACTCATGCAGGGTGCCATGTGCGTGTGTGCCCAAGATCCCGAAAGGAGAATGGAGGAGAAGGGATTGCAGCGTAGCCATCCCCCCGGGGGGTGTTTTCTCACTTTTTATCTCTCTGTCTTTCTGGTGAGCATATGCACCCTATAGCAAAAACCTCTCCAAAAATAAAAAAGTGTGAAGGTTAAGGTGCTGGATTCCACATGGCTGAATGTGCAGTTGAATCTTGGACCCTGTAGCTTGAAAATCAAGCCAACCATATGTGCATGCATGCGAAAATCCCAAGAGAAAACTAGGGGATAAGGAAATGCAGCATTGCCATCCCCCCTGAAGGCTTCTTTCTTACTTCTCCCTGCCCCCTCTGTTGAGCACATGCGCCCTACAGCAAAAAACAAAAACAAAAACCATAAATGTATACAATCTGAATCGTTAACATTATTAGAACTATATGAAATACCATCGAGTCTTTCAGCACTCTGAGAGAAGCTATTATTATTATTATTATTATTATTTTAGGGAGAGGTTTTTGCTATAGGGTACATGCACTCACAGGAAAGACAGAGCGAGACAGAGAGAGAGAAAATGAGAAATCACCCTCCAGGGGGATGGTCACACTGCAATCCCTTCTTCTCCATTCTCCTCTCAGGATCTTGGGCACACACGCACATATGCCCAGCATGAGTTTAAGCTACTGGGTCCGGGACTCGAACCGCAGTCGACTACATGGGAGTCCAGGGACGTAGCCATAATGCAAACTGCTGGTCCCTTTATTTATTTATTTTTAAAGAGAAACTTTTGCTATAGGGTGCACATGCTCCCTGGAGAGACAAAAAGTTGAAAAATCACCCCCCACCCCTGGGAGATGGCTATGCCAGAATCCCTTCTCCTCCATTCTCCTCTAGGGATTTAGGGCACAACCGCACATGCACTCGACATGAATTTTAAGTCGCCGGATCTGAGACACGGGGAGTCCAGCAACATAATCATTATGCCATCAGCGGGTCCCAAGAAGCTTTAACAACTAGTTACAAGCAGAATTACTTGAAGATAACTACATCATAAAGAATGACCATTTGAGGGACCAGCAGTTAGCATAATGGCTATGTCGCTGGACTCCCCATGTAGTCGACTGCGGTTCGGGTCCCAGACCCAGCAGCTTAAACTCACGCCAGGCACGCATGCATGTGTGTGTGCCCAAGATCCCAAAAGGAGAATAGAGGAGAAGGGACTGCGGTGTGGCCATCCCCCCTGGGGGGGTGATTTCTTGCTTTCTATCTCTCTCTTTCTGGTGAGCGCATGCACCCTATAGCAAAAACCCCTCAAAAAAAGAAGAAAAAAAAAATGACCATTTGAGAGAAACAGCACAGATACTTTGCCCTCTCAAATAAAACCCCATTCTAGCTCTAGTTCATTTGCCAAATCAAAGCAGTAAGTCAACATGACAAACACAAATCTTCCCATTAGAATATCTTGAGGCTTAGAATGAAACTAATCATCCCACATATCTCAAAATGTTCAATGTCATGCTAACTGACAGCACATGTAACTGGGAAGATCTTACCTCTGTTATCATTTTACAGCTTTTACAAGGTCCAATTTGACTGAATAACTGAAGTATAAGGACTTCTGTCACATCTCTGGAGAGGTTACCTACATATCTGTACAAGAAGAAAAAAATACATTATCAGCAATTTTCCTTTAGCTCTAATCTAATGTGTTATCATTTAATCCATCACCTTTTATTTCATTTTCACTTCTCTCTTCAAATTTTTTTCCACTTAAAAAGCCTGATCCTATAAAAGTAAGATTAATCCTCATTTACAGAAGCAACAATGGTTCTCAGTTTACTAAAATATCACTTAAAAAAAAAACATAAGGAACAAATCACTGTGACCTTACATACTTCAGAGGTATAGTATTCTGTACCCATATATCACTGTCTCATCTTATTGTTAAAAACTTAAACCAGGTTTAAGATGTCTACAATTCATAATTCAAAATAATTTACAACACACTCCCCCCCACACAAATAAAACAAATACTGATTCATTAAAATAATACCTGATTATAAAGGAGAATTAGACACAAGGCAAGTTTATTTTAGACTCCCAACCAAAGCATAAAATAAAAATAGAATTTGAGTACAATTATAGCAAAATACAGTGAGGATGGAGGGTCTTTGTTTTGCTTTTGGCTAAACAAGATTGTTAGCAGTGGTGTTTATTCAGTGTTCTGTTTTAAGACAACAGGATAAAATTAAATGCATCAATATTAACAAAATACATCTTTATGTAAATAACAAATATAAAGATTTCTTTAGAAATTCAGAAAAAAACTAAGACAAATCCAAGTGTACTTTTTAACTAGAAATTTGAGGCTTTTTTATTTTCCAGTGATAAAATGAATATATGTATTTTGTATAAAAAAAGTTCAAAAGCTAAAAAAAAAGAAAAGAAAAAAGAAGAAATACTCATTTGTCAACCAACTTGGTTTATGTCCTGCAATGTAAGATTTATATTAATTTATCTCAAAAAACTGCCAAACTTCTAAGTCTTTCTGGTACTCAGCACATAACTCCAACTTGTATCTGTTATGAGAAGCCTTATATATATAAAATTTAACACAGTTTCTTCTAAAAAATCAAAGGACATGAATTTTATTTTTCTAACTATAATATAGGAACATCTGGAATCTGAGTACAAAAACCAAAATAAGCCTTCCAACATAGTTTCTGGATTAAAACCTAACTACTTTAAGATATAGCACTGTGAAGGAGAATAACAGACTGAGAAAACTATAGTAAAAAATGATTCCACTAAAAATTAATACCAATTTTCCAGTTCAGTTAAGATTTTCACTGCAATGGGCACTGATAATCTTAGTACACATATCCTAAAATTCAAACACATGTCCAAAGTAACTTAAATAGAACACTAAACAAGTTACAAACTGGTTTAGATTCACTATGCCACCTTTTCCTTATAATGAGGGCAGACCCATCAATAGGCCAATGCAGTGACATATATTTTCCAGCAGTAGTAAAAGGATACAGAATTAAGAGCTAGCAAGAGACAACTGCCTACCATGTCTTAACTCATTGGGGATTGTTAAGTCTGTATCCATGGAATATTTTTACACAAATCAACTTGGTCTTCTAAACAGTATGCTTATATAACCTACAGAACTAGTTAGCTCATTTCTAAGAGAAAAGTGCAGTGGATAAAACTGATTTTCACATATTGACCTGCATTGTAACAAAATTAAAAAATTATCATTTTATTATAATACATTTTTAAGTGTTTATAATAGTTTAAAATTTGCATTACTGTTTAAGCATGCATGGTCGTAATCACACTGCATACCTAACAGTATAAAAAAACTTACTGCCTTTTATTCTTAATTGGCTAGAGGACATGTACACTTGCTGGAGACAGAGAGGGCAAGTAAGAAAGCATCCCCCCATGAGGGATGGTCACACCACAATCCGTTCTCTGCCTTTTTTCCTTTGGGATTTTGGGCATACATGCATACATACTTAGTATGTTTTTCTTTTCTTTCTGCTAAAGGTAAGTAAGTGTACTTGGGGAGCAAAGTGAGAAATCACCCACAGTGGGTGGTGGGGTGGTCACGCCATAATCGCTTCTCCTCCACTCTACTCCTGGGATTTAAGGCACACACACATATGCCCAGTGTGATTTTCAAGCTGAAGGGTCCAAGAATCGAACCATGTGGGGAGTACAACACCTTGACCACTATGCCACTTGCTGGCCCTGCCTAGCATGTTTTTCAAGCAGTGACGGGTCTAGGATTCCAACCACACAGCTGGTCATGTGGAATTCACTTGCCTTAATCACCCTGTCACCGCTGACCCCAAACTTTTGCTGTTTAAATAGGATTTGATTCCAAGTCAACCTACTTCCAATCAGTTACAGATCTACAAAGAATTTCTGGAGGCAAAATTAGACACAATTGATTTACATTTTTAACACTAATACCGAAGACCAAAAGGTTAATATCAAAGTTTAAAATGTCATGAAGGGGACCAGCAGATGGCATGGTGATTAAGGTGCTGGACACTCCAACATAGCTGACCACAGTTTGAGTCCCAGATCTGGTGGATTGCTTTCTCACTTTTCCTCTCTGGCCAAATTAAAATAACGAATGAATAAATAAAATTGAATAAATAATTCTTTAAAAAATAAAATGTGGGACCAGTAGTTGGCGTAATGGCTATGTCGCTGGACTCCCATGTAGCTGACCACAGTTCAAGTCCCAGACCCGGTGGCTTAAACTCACACCGGATGCATGTGCATGCATGCCCAAGATCCCAAGAGGAGAATGAAGGAGAAGGGACTGCAGCATGGCCATCCCCCCAGGGAGTGATTTCTCGCTCTCTGTCTCTCTCTCTTTTTGGTGAGCGCACGTGCCTTATAGAAAAAACATCTCCAAATATAGTAATAATAATAATAAAATGTCATAAAATACTTACAGGAAAAAAAAATCCAGTTTTAAGGCCCTATCATTCAAATAACTCTACCTAAAGTTATGTAGTAAAGCAGCAAATTAAATTTCAAAAACTAACATAAAAGACCCTACATAATAATGCATACAACATCTTAATTTACCAGGGCAAAAAGGGGGTAATTCACTACATAACTCCACTTATATTTAACTCAAATTTCAAATAGCCTTTTTAAATAAATTTTTGCCTGAAGGCATGTGTGCTTACCAGAGAGAGCGAGAGCGAGAGCGAGAGCGAGAGAGAGAGAGAGAGAGAAACAAGGAGAGGGAAAGTGAGACATCACTCCCCCCTTCTTCTGCCTGGCGCATGGCCATGCTGCAACCCCTTCTCCTCCATTCTTCTCCCAGGATCTTGGGCACACATGCACACACATCCAGCATGATCATCAAGTCACTGGATCCTGGACTCAAACCATAGTTGGTCATGGGGGAGTCAAGCGACATAATCCCTACACTGTCTGCTGATCCTCAAATTGCCTTTTCTTTATTCAGAATTCTTTTTTTTTTGCAGAGGTTTTTGCTATAGAGCGTGTGCACTTGCCAGAGAGACAGAAAGCGAGAAATCACCCTCCAGGGGGGATGGACACACCGCAATTCCTTCTCCTCCATTCTCCTCTTGGGATCTTGGGCACGCACACACAAGTGCCTGGTGTGCGTTCAAGCCACTGGGTCCGGGACTTGAACCGCGGTCGACTACATGGGAGTTCAGCGACATACCCATTACACTAACTGCTGGTCCCTTTATTCAGAATTCTATAGTTCATTTATATATGCCTTTGTGTATCATAATAGTGACATTTTGTAACCTTTGGAATACTGTACTTAAGTCATCTTTACGTTATCATAAAATTATCAGCCCCCAAATAAATACTAACAAAAAATTTAAAACAACATTTAATACTTGACTTAGTAAAAACGTCATTGGTAGGTTACTAAGATTGTATCTTTTTTTCTTTTTTTTTCCAAATTACAGTGTCTAACTTTCTTTCTGTTCTGGCTAGTAGTCAACATATTGTAAAGATCCAAGATTTTTTTTTTTTTTTCAAAGAGACTTTTTTACTACAGGGTGCATGCGATCACCAGAGGCACAGAGAGAGATAGAGACAGAAAGCGAGAAATCATCTCCTAGGGGGATGGCCATGCCACAATCACTTCTCTTCCATTCTCCTCTTAGGATTTTGGGCACACGTACATGCCCGGCGTGAGTTTTAAGCCACAGGGTCCAGGCCTCGAATTGCAATAGACTACATGGGTGTCCAGCAGCTTAACTAATACACCATCTGCTGGTCCCAAGTCTCAAGTTTTTAAATATATGATTTCTACCTGAAGAACATATACAAATAACAAAACTCAAATGGCTTGAATTCTTGTATTAAATAGTCAATTCAAAGAATAAACTTAGGAAATCCCAAAATGATTTTTAACTCAAAGAAAAGTAAAAAGAAGCATACCTTAGATTCTATTTTGTCTTCTAAGAACAGGAACTGTAGAACTGAAGCATCAAAAACACTGAAAATAATACCTGTACCCCTAATATAAGGGTTAAAAATCCAGTTTGAGACTAGAAACTAGGCAGTATCAAAGTAGGTGAAAGCTCACATTGCCAGACTACTTGCTATGCCCAACTGGGCAACATTTTAAGTTAAGAATATCCATGCCTTTCAGAAGACTAATGACATTTTTTCATTGCTAAATGTGCTCTCATTCTGAAAAGAGTAGACCTACCAAGGCTGCAATTACCAGTACTTTTATGCAATATACTCTGGCTAAATTTCCATAAATGTAACGGTTTTTGCTTCTGTTCTTCACAAGTTCCTATACAAGAGGAGATTTTGCAACAATATCCTTCAATATACCTCTAATTAATTGTTCAGTCTGTTAGTATTTCATTTTATGAAGGAAGCAGGATAGATGAAAGGTGTAAGACTTAAGCTGAATTGACCAACTATTCCTGTATGTGTGCATATGTGTGTGTTTTTCACACCCATGGTGGAGAAAAACATATAATTAAGATGTATGAGGGGACTGGCTTAGTCTCATATAGTAAAATCTATGGTATAGTCAATTTTATAGTGATATTTTACAGCATATTTCTTCTGCTTTGTTCTTAGATTTTCAGATCATACTCCTTTGAGTATCAGGAAGAATAGCCTCAAAGGATGGCACTGCATAGAATAGTATTATCCCAGATCAGGAATACTACTGATGTGGGTGAGTCGGAGATAAACAAACAAACAAACAAAATCTATAGGAGGCCAACAGGTGGCATGGAGGTTAAGCAGCTGGATCCCACATGGCCAACTCTGTGGTTTGAATCCCAGACCTGGCAGCTTAAAATTAATGCGTTTTGTGTGAATGTATGCCCCAAATTCCAAGAGGAGAATGGAGAAGGAACTACGATATGGCCGTCCTCCCTACCCCAGGGTGGGGTTGATTTCCTGGTTTCCCTCTCCCTTTTTCTCTGGAGAGTGCAAAAAACCTACTGTAGAATGCTACTACAATTTTGTGTCTTATTGGAGACTCGGATATACCATGGATCAAATCACTGTACTAACAAAACTACACACAGCTCGAACCTAAAATCTGTTGTCCTACAAGGCAGGTGTCAGGCAGTACTGTTCCATCACCAGCATTTCATAGCATGATCTCGTTTGTTTGTTTGTTTATATCACAAGATACCCAATACATATCCCAAAATAAATGTCAAATGAGAGTGAAGCACATCAGAAAACAGATCTTTAAAATGACTATATAACAAATACAACTTTAGGCTCAACATTAAAGCAAGTCTATATCACTTTAAATACCATCAAATAAATTAGTAATACTGTAGGTAATGAATATTTAAAGACCTACCTAGGCTATAAACACCATATTGTTTTCTGAAGATAGAACCATATGTCTTAGCTTGTGTGTGTCTGCAGGAAAAAAACCTCACTAGTAACACACAGGCATTTTAAAGAAACAGTTTAAGATAAGCTTTGTTAAAGGTACATTTTTTTAAAAACATACTAGCCACTTCCAAACCTAGTCCATAGTTCACAATGTAAAATATAAGACCTCCATAAACAAAGCAAAACCCTACTAGAGATATCAACCTCTAAAATCCCAAAGTTTTAATCATGTTACTTTCTCTAAAAGAAACCTCTGAGGAGAAACACATAAAATGTACACTTGAGAAAAATGTGTTATTTTTATTAAACTCAAACAAAATTCCAAAAAGCAAAACACTTGCTTTTAGTGCAAGACTTGACATGTGAAGGTTTAAAAAATATATATTTTTTAAAAAAAGTACTACATATGATAATAATGTCTGCGTAAATTGTGAACCAGTCAGAATTGGTAAAAAAGGACACAATACTTAAATGAAGTACAATCATCGTAAAATTCTTGTGTACCTCTTATATTCCAGGCAGTGAACTAAGTGCTGCAGGAGAAAGACCTAGGAAGATATAGCAGTCCTTGTCTAAAAAAAAGAAAAAAAAGAAAAAAAAAAATCCTTCCCATAGAGAAGAGCAGGAGAAGGAAAAAGAATGATAGTATAGTAAACACAAGACTGTCAAACAAAAGTAACAGAGCTTGAGATGTTTATTTACTCTTCCCCATACAGGGCACATTTTTAGACAGCTATAAACATCAAGGGCAATGTTTCAGAGAAGGGCTGGAGAAGGTAGAGGTAGGAAGGAACAAAGAAGTTAGGGAAGGAGTCTACTGGAGAAGGGCTGATGAAGAGAAGGCAGACTTGCAAAAATAGTTATATGAATAGAAGATACTGAAAAAGTCTATTATTTAGCACCAGAAATCCAAAAATCCTCTTTATAAGAAACAGAAACAATCAGACATGTGCCATGAAAACTGACCACTTATTCACTAGCTATTATGATGTAATGATGACATTTCAGACTTTTAGCTACAACGTAACTTTTATCTTTGTTACATACAAGTTAGCTAGGCAGCTATATCTAGCTTTCCTAGATGCATCTATCAAAGGACAGGCTGCTAACTAATACCAAGTTTTGGCCTGCACAGATGTTGAGGGACAATTTCAAGTTTGTCCCAGCTCTCTCCTTTCTGGGAATCAATGGAAGAAATGGAAAACAATACAGAACATGAAATTCTTCCAAGAAGGCTTTCGATCAAGATTCTGATGTGCCTAAGTTGGCCTCAAATTCTCAAAACGAGAAAACAAAGACTTTAGCGAGATGTTAGAAAAATAAAGAGTATGAGGCCACAGAAAGAAAAGATGTATCAATGAACACAGGTATCTGTCTTCTTTACTGACAGTACTTTCTTGGGTAGGAGTGAAGCAATGAGAAGCTAGACAAACTTCCTGAGTGTCTATCCACCTTCACCTATTCCTCCCCAAATAATTTCCCCACCACATAGGAGAGTCAGCCAAGTGAACTATGATCATATCAATACCAGGTAGAAGAGAAACAAAGCAGTGATCTGACTCCTTGCACTCCAGGTAGAATGCTGAGCCTGGAAAGGCTGGAAAAACTGAAGGTGCCCAGTTTAAACACTCAGTTCCAAAGTATCCAGACTTAACACACACACACACACACACACACACACACACACACACACAAGGTGCAGGAGAAAGAAAGGAGTGCCACACTATCCTGGAAGGAATACAAATGCTGAGTCATCACTCTTCATTAAGAAAGCAAGGAAATTAGAAATAAGCGATTGGAAGATGAAATTCATTCATCAGACTGGGCTTCAGGTAAAAAGCAACAGCAAGACAGGAGAAAAAGCGTCCAAAAGATACACAACGAAGAGTGGAGGGAGACAGAATTTTATCCAAGTCTGAAGGTCTCGTCGCAAAAATAAGAAAGAGGCAACACCAAGAGCGCAAAAGGGATATTAACGGGTTGTCAGTTCCAAGTGGAGAGCGCCAGAAGTAAACTTCGGTATCCAAGGAGGGAAAGGTGCCCGGGCGGCAAGAGGCATCCCTCTTGCACTTCAAAAGTAGCGGGCGCTAGGCGGGGGTTTTTGACAGCATGTGTGGGGGCACGTGGGGGCACGTGGGCAGAAGGGGCCTGAGTGCAGAAGAGTGGCTTCGTTGGAGAGCTTAGCTTGGGAGAAGAGCCGGGACAGACACGAGCTGAGGACGTGGAAGCTGTGAGTGCTAATTCCTCGGAGCCCGCAGGGGATGCAGCTGGGGTCCCACCCCCGGGTCCACCCCCACCAGGCCCTGCCCCCGTAGGGACTGGCAACTCCCGGCCCAGCCCAGGTCCCCCCAAAGCAGAGAGAGAGCAGGAGCTCTCCTAGGCCTGACAGCCTCAGCCTTGCTGAAACACGGCCTAGGAAGGGTGTGCAAAAAAGGACGCGAGAGAAAAAGGTGGAGGCAAGCCTTAGACCCCAGGAAGTGACTGTGTTTGGGGGAAGGGAAGGCTTCCTTTCCAAGGAAAAGGGGACAGATGAGGAAAGCACTTAGCACCCGCACCACCCAGGCCACAGAGCCGTCGAGAGTCCCAGCTGCGGCCCCCTCTCTCCCGCTTCCTCCCTCAGCGCCCCGTGGTGTTCCGGCCTCTCGGCACTTGGCACCCCCAGTCTCGGGTACTCACAGAGTCCGGGGCTGCCCGTCGTCTTCCATCATGGTGGGTGCGACGGAGCGATCCCGGGACAAGGGGGAGGGCAGGGCTGGGGAGGGGAGGGGGCGGGGAGGAAGGGGAGGGGGGCTCCGGGCACCGGCTCCGGGCAGAGGGGGGGGGCGGGCCGCGGCGGCGCCCCGCCAGGTCACCGCTCAGGCCAGCCGCGCCGGCCTGCGAGGGGGCTCCGCCGAGGGCGGGAAGAGCCGGCCGCGGAGGGGAACCTGCGCCCGGCACGGCGAGCCACGTCGTCGCCGGGGGACTGCTGGCCGGCCCGAGCCCAGCCAGCTCCAGGAGAGAGCGGGCCAAAAGAGAAACGCCGCTAAGCCGAAGTCTCTGGGAATTGTGGTCCTGGAAATGAGGGAGGGAAGCACTTCTCCAGAGGGCTTCTGGGAACTGTAGTCCCAAGGAGCCGCCGGCGCCCGCGCTGGACGCGCAGAGGAGACTTCTGGGTAGTGTAGTTGTACGTGAGGACGTGCGGCCACCAGGAAGTCGGCGCAGTGCGAGGGGCGGGGAAGCATACAAGCGGAGCTGAAAAGCCGGCAGGCGAGGCGGGGAAGTCGCTGTCCGGAAAGTGAACTCTAAGTCCCAGAGTGCCTCGCGCTGGGGGGCGGCCTAGGACTGCTCCAGGCATTTTTAAGCTGCTTCTGTTGGCTGAGCCAGAGCCTGTGCTCCGCCTCCGTCCAGCCCGAGAGCGGTTTCTTCAACTGCAGCTCCGGCGGTGCTTTGGCTCCGCGTGGTCTCCCAGCCAGCAGGCCTCTCTGGCCTGCCTCTGTTAGAACCGGTGGCCCGCAGTCGTCAACCGTCGCATCGCGCGACGGGCCAGAGAGGCTGGCCTGGTGAGGACACGGAGGGATTGGGGCGGACCTTGGTCTTCCCAAGGGCTGGCAGCGTCTTTTGCGCGCGATTTTTCACAAATAAGTATTCCTAATTCAGATAGCCAGTTTCTAAATGGCTTTATGAGTTTCAAAGGTTACCCTATCCATGATCTCATTGGATAAGGGGCGAGAGAAGCTATAATCTGTTAAAATGACCTGCCCTCCTGCCCCTGAATTTAGTTCTTGGAGAGGGAAGAATAAATCCCCTGGGCGGAGACGTGTGCAGGATTAAGATTGTGTTTACAGACATCAGTCATGGACCGGGAATGAAGTCTTGCGTGAAGATGTGGGAAGCCATGTTCAAACTAGATCACAGTCCTATAGAACTTCTCCCTCCACCCCCGGTATTTCCCAGTGTGCTTCTCACCCTCAACCCCACCTATAAGCTCCTTAAGAAAAATAATTCATACCCAGCACTCACAAAAGTGGCGGAGAAAGAGCTTTCAGCTTATTCCGGAGCTTAACTGTCCCGGTTAACAGTGCCCTAGGTGTTGGTTCTGCAGACATACTGAGGACCTAGTCTATGGTAAGGGGCAATCGTAATCTTGCAGACAGAATCGACCGGAATTTGGCTCTGCTTGTAGATTTTCAGGGGAGGAGGTTTCAACCCGAAATAGTTCAGAGACCATGACCAGGAGAGTCCCTTAATCAGGAGCAACAGCAAAAGGGTTCAAAGGCCAAGACCCATGGCTAAAATGTATGAGGAAGGTATGGAGTCGTGAGAGCTAAAACTATGGAGGGTAGTGGCATTTGCCTTAGAGAACCATATTCTCAAGGATTTGCACCTTTCTGAGTCTGAACTTTATCTTCCAGGCAATAAGAAACCTGTTAAATGATAGGAGGCGGTAACCTCTTGCTCTAGGCCATAATAGACCAGAATGAGGGGCCAGCAGTTAGCATACTGGCTATGTTGCTGGACTCCCATGTAGTTGACCACAGTTCAAGTCCTGGACCCGGTTGCTTAAACTCACTCTAGGCGCGTGTGCATGCGTGCCCAAGATCCCAAGAGGAGAATGGAGGAGAAGGGATTGCGACGTGGCCATCCCCCCTGGCGGGGAGTGATTTCTCGCTTTCTGTCTCTCTGTCTCTTTCTGGCACACGCACGTGCCCTATAGCAAAACAAAACAAAACAAAAAACCTCTCCAAAGATAAATAAATGAATGAATAAACAGACCAGAATGAAATGGAATCTCTTATGCTAAAATTCCACATCATCTAAATGAACCGTTAAGTTGATAGATCCCATAACAGACCGATTTTCCCTCAAAACAGGAGATTTGAGTCTACTTGAATCAGTGCTGTAAGGAAATAAAACTTGCTCATTTTATGGCTTTCTTAGGAATATGCACCTGGAATACCTCAAAATGTTACTAAACTCATTGCACTTTTTGCTTTATGTACATCCTTACCACCCAGATGTATTCCTTTTTTACCTTCCATTAGTCTCACATATTATAATTCAAAAAGACAATTCAGTTACAACAATGTGCCAGACTCACCGTCTCTGTGTTCCTTAACATTAAGCCAGGTTACCACAGGTGACCATGATGTCATCTTGCTCCCCTTATAATAGAATTTTTCCAATTGCTGCTAGGTAAGACTCCTTACTACTTCTTCCACCCATTTGCAGCTTTTGTCTTTAAAATCTTATTGAAGTCTGTAAGACCTGACACACATTATTCCAACTCGGATATTATAGTGCCTGGATGATCCTGGTCCATTAACTCTTCCTTTATTTACTTTACCTCAGCATTTCTCTTAGGTTCACAAGCTATCCAAAGGTTTTATCTGTTTTTTATAGGACCTAGGTATAGAACTGGATTAATCATAATTCAATGAGCTGATTTATACCTGGCCCACTGTATTAGTGTTTCTTTGACCATTGTCACAAATTACTGCAAACTTAGTTATTTAAACAGTACATGTTTATTACCTCTCTTTTTTTAATTATCAGAGGATATGTTCACTTTTCAGAGAGGGACAGTAAGAGAGGGAGAAAGCACCCCTCAATGGGGCATAGTCAAGTTTCAATCCCTTATGCTCTGTTTCTCTATCCTGTTGGGATTTGGGGTGCGCACACCAAATCCCAAGCATGGTTTTCAAGTCATGGAGGGCTAGGATTCTAACCACAGTCACTTTGTGGAATCTGGCTCCCCTAGCCACTAGGCTACAGATCTGGTCCCAAATGTATTATCTTACAGTCCTGGAGGTTATAAAGCCACAATAAGTTTCATTAGTCTAAAATCAAGGTATTGGCACAGCTGGTTTCCTGTCTCTACCAGCTTCTAAAGGCTGTCTGCATTCCTTACGTCTGGCTTCCTTCCTCCATCTTCAAAGACAGCAGGACAGTGTCTTCTCTCTTGCTCCAACCTGCTTGTCTTTTCTTTCTTTGAGAGAGATTTTTGCTACAGGGTTCATGTGCTCACCAGAGAGATTGAGAGAGAGAGACAGAAAGTGAGAAATCACCCCAGGGGGATGACCATGCCACAATCCCTTCTCCTCCAGTCTCCTCTCAGGATTTTGGGCACACACATGCATGCACCCAGCATGAGTTTTAAGCCGGCTGGTCCAGAACTCAAGCCATGGTCGACTGTGTGGGAGTCCAGCAACATAACCATTATGCCATCTGTGGGTCCCTGTTCTCTCTCTCTCTCTTTTTAGGAGAAGTTTTTTTTTGTTTTTTGTTTGTTTGTTTGTTTGTTTTGCTATAGGGCACATGCACTCGCCAGAAAGACAGAGAGAGACAGAAAGATAGAAAGTGAGAAATCACCCCCCAGGGGAATGGCCACGCCGCAATCCCTTCTCCTCCATTTTCCTCTTGGGATCTTGGGCAGGCACACACATGCGCCCAGTGTGAGTTTAAGCCACCAGGTCTGGGACTCAAACTGCTGTCAACTACATGGGAGTCCAGTGACATAGCCATTATGCCAACTGCTGGTCCCAGGTCCCTGTTCTCTCCTAAACTCCAATCCTCCTACCCTCTTTCATTTACAAGCACCATTTGTGATTACTTTTGGTCAGGATAATTTGCCCATCTCAAATCCTTAATCACGTCTGCAAAGTCCCTTTACCATCACATAGCATTTACAAATTCTGGGGATTAGGACTTAGATATTCAGTTACTTTAGCTTTATTAATTTAGTCAGTTTTAATAATATAATAATAGTCATAAACTCACCACTCTAAATAAGTTTGTTTGTTTGTTTTGAGAGGTTTTTGCTATAGAACATGTGCACTCGCCAGAAAGAGACAGAGAGACAGAAAGCGAGAAATCACCCCCCAGGGAGGATAGCCACGCTGCAGTCCCATCTCCATTCTCCTCTTGGGATCTTGGGCACACACACACATGTGCCCAGCATGAGTTTAAGCCACCAGGTCCAGGACTCGAACCACGGTCAGCTACATGGGATTCCAGCAACATAGCCATTACGCTAACCATTGGTCCCACTCTAAAGTTATAGTGACAATTTACATCTAAGTCTATGTATGTCTTTCACACACACTAACCCATCCCCCTGCTTCTCTCAGCTGTGTCATGATACAGCACCAGAGGCTGGCCATGTGTCAATCCTCATACTCTCAGGCTTTCTGGTCACCTGAATTGTGAGCCAAATAAACCCTGTTTCTTTATAAATCATCCAGAGTTGGATATTTTTGTATAGCCACACAATAAAACTAAAATAATACCCAACATAATCATAACTAGGGTCTCAAATATTTTTACTCCCATGGCCACAGTCTGGATGTGTGCATCTTCCAAAGATTTATACATTGAAATTCAGTCACCAAATAGTTGGTATTAGAAGATGGGAAAAGAGCCAGCAGGTGGCATAGTGGTTAGGGCACTGAACTCCCACATGGCCAACTCTGGTTTGAATCCTGGACCTGGTGGCTTGTTGTGGCTTGCTTTTTCACTTTCTCTTTTTTTCCTCTCTCTGTCTCTCTTTAGTCAAATTAAAATAATAGTGGATAAAATGAAATAATAAATATTTTAAAATGTGGAAAGTGATTAGGTCATGATAGTTCCACTCTCATCGATGAGTTAGGGTCAGCTTCATAGCCTAATGGTTAAAGGAGCTGGAGTCCATATGGCCAGCTGCACTTTTCAAATTTTGGCCCCAGTGGCTTGAAAAACAAACTGGGTATATGTGCATGTGTACCCCAAACCCTGACAGGATGGAGAAGTT